AAGAATCAACCAATGCGTCTGTGTCACGGAAGAGGACATACCAGTTGCTGACCCCCTCAAACATAGCATGCGGCCTGCAAAGCCCCCCAAAGTACCGGAGCCGCTGTGACTTTGATATTTCTCCCTTTCCAAGCCCAGGGTTTTTGTTCAAAGGAGTTTTTTGGGCTCTCTTCCCTCTGTGCCTGCTTTTCCACTTCTTTAACCCTTTGCGATCGTTTGTCTACTCTCAGCCACCAAAGCTTTTTTACCGTTCCGGTCGTATGTCTGCTCTCAGCCACCACAGCAAGGAACCGTACAAATCTTAACTCTATTCATTCATGTATCAGTTCATAATTTCTCTTGTTTATCCTTCATAATCTTGCATGTTATGTATCACTGCTCTTTCAATGGAAATTAATTCCGACCAGTACGACACCCATGTCCAAATTTAATATGACCGCAAAGGGTTAAGAAATGGTAGCATGACACCTGCTGGGAGCCAGGCCCTGGGATCAGCACTGAGGATTCAGAAAGGAGCAACATTCTTGACCAGAGACGGAGACAGGCAAACAAATACAAAACAGTGGAAATCCCACCCAGAAATGCCAAAGGCCTTGATCACAGTAGGTACTGAACATTGCTTGAATGAATGATGAATAGGTGAATATGAGATTCTGTGGTCCAGAGAAGGGAGGCTCTGGGTGTGGACATTTGGGGAAAAACTTAGAATTGGAGTTCACCAGGTGAATAAAGGGGAGGGAGAAAGCGTGAATGGCATTCAAGACAAAGGGAGCAGTACCTGCAAAAGGACAAAGGCATGAACAAGCAGGATGAGTTTTAGGATCAGTCTGGAATGAACGAAACGCAAGATGAGTGTAGGAGAGTGAGGTGAGACTGGAGCTGTGTACCAGGAATCAGGTCATAGAAATCTGAATACAGAGTTGAACTTTGAGGTTTACCATAAGGGCAAGAGCCGCGTATGGATGACTTCAAGAGCAGGTGCTGAGGATAACTCCCAGACTTCTGGCTTAGACCTTGGGTTGGATTTGGTGGGGCTGCTGTAGAGGGGCAGCAAAGCTGGGGGAAAATAAGTTCAGGAGGTAGTCAAGATCTGGAAGGCAGCTGGACTCTTAGGTTCAGGCCTCCTTACCCCTGGTATAGCCCACTCCACTCCTACTCTCCATACTTGTCTTCTCAGGGTCTCCTTCCTTCCTTCAAGAGGCAGGCCTCGTTGCCCTAGCCTTTTGTCCTGCACCCCATAGACACAACCACCTGAATCCCTTATAAAATGCAGTGGGTCCAATTTTGCTGTGGGAAGTGATCTGCTTGGCCAAGCAGAACAAGTTCCCTACTCTGAGCAGCGGGAGTTCAAATCACTGTCACCGGGCTGGGCCGGCAGGGTCAATCTGTGCGGAGTGGAGCGGGGCACTTGCTGCCCAGCACCAGGTCAGGAGTCAGGGCCAGGCAAGAAACCGGTGAGAGTGGGAGGACAGTGACGTCACAAAGGACAGGAAATAGTCGGCTGAAGGCACTTCCTAGTCGCAGGGAGCAAAGGGCCCCTTTTCAGTTTGAGCAGTGGGCAGCGGAGAGCGCAGGAGTGCCGACTTTGCCGCCTCTCTCACAGCAGCCTTGGTACAGAATCTTGCCAGCAGTGTGAGCAGCTCAACTGCATCCTCTTTCCTCGGAGGCCATAAATGGCCCTCAGGGGTCAGAGGCCAAGGGGCACTAGTCCCTTTAACCCTTTGCAGTCGTATTAAATTTGGAAATGGGTGTTGTACTGGTCGGAATTAATTTCCATTGAAAGAGCAGTGATACATAACATGCAAGATTATGAAGGATAAACAAGATTAATTCTTTTTTGAACATTATATGTATGTTTAGACAATAATGTGTTTCAATAACATGTTTTTATGTAAAAATTATATTTTATATTTCTCCATTGTGTGGTATCTTTGAAAGCAGTCTCCAATATGCAGTCCTGGTTTTCGACTACATGTATCGCAAAAATAATTAGTTTGGCATCTTCCGCCCCTAATCTTTCTGTTCGAACATACAGAGCAATCTTTACTTTTCACACCTTCACAGTGCCGCAATATATGCAGTTTCCCATTAAGCCTTTCATCTTTATCTGAGGCCGATGGTCTTCCTGGTTTTGAAGACGCTCCTTCACAAAAATCACCTACAAGTTGTTCGACCAATTTTCGAACAAACATAAAATGTGACATAGGCGTCCTGTTTTCTTTTTAGCTGACATCTTATATAAGATGTAGCTATTTATTGCACAGATCTCTAATCCCCAGAAAAAAATCTTTCTCCACCATTTGCAAGATTTTCTCATAAAACAATATGAACTTGCTAATTGGTCAGCTTTGTCGACGCCTCCCATATTCATATTGTAATTTATAATAACATTCGGTTTGTTAATGTTGATGGTGCCACCTTGTTTCACCCTTCTTTCTATAGTTGTTGTGCCCGAGGTATCGTAACTGCTTAGTATGGTGACTATTATCTTTCCACGCTAATAATATCACCTGATCGATAGGCACCAACAGTATTACTTTTTGTTACAGCTGGGTTTTTTTTGTTTTTTTTATCACAGCTGGTATATATTTTCTGTTTGTACTAAGTGTACCATTTAAGATTGGTAGGGTTCCTTGCTGTGGTGGCTGAGAGCAGACATATGACCGGAAGGGTAAAAAAGCTTTGGTGGCTGAGAGCAGACAAACGACCGCAAAGGGTTAAAGCTCGATTTGACGCGCGCAGCCTCCAGCCCGGGAAAGAGAGGACGCGGAGCGTGGCCGAGCCTCTCTGTCTCTTAACCTGCTACTTTACCTGATCTCATTGTGTGGATGCCAGCGCCAGCTACCGGCGCCTGAAGAAAGCGAGAGGCCGAGTGGATTCCCGTGACCCACCACACCGACAACCCCCTCGGCCAAGAAGCGCCCATTTCCCACCTCGCAAACCGCGAAGGATTCTGGGAGTCGCTCGGCGCGGGGCGGGCGAAAGGCGTGCGCCCTCGGTGCCACGGCGCGCCCTAGCGGCCTGGAGGGGCCTCTGCGTAGTCGCCGTAACCCATAGCAACCCGAAGTCGCTTCCGATGGGATTCGGAAGGGAGGATGGGTTGGAGTCCGAGTCGTTTGGAGTTTTGGGGCAGTCTGACAGAATGGGAGCCCGGCCTGGGGTGAAGAATAGAGCCTCGGGACCGTTGGGGCTTTCTCGGGTGCCCCGGTGCATGGGGTAAATGCCCAGGAGAGCAATTGCTAGGTTGTATGATAAATGAATGTTTAAATTTTCAAAGAAACAGCTAAACTGTTTCTAGAGTGGCTTGACCATTTTATTTTCCTGTCAGCAACATATGACAGCTCCAGTGTCTTCACATCCTCGCCAGCATTTGGTTTTATCACTATTTTTAGTTTTAGCCATTATGATGGGTATCAAAATCTCAAGGTCTGAATTTGCATTTCCCTAATGGCTAGTGATGTTGAACATCTTTATTAACTACCTGTGTATTTTTTTCAGTAAAACGTTTCTTTATATCTTTTGCTTATTTTCTAAATGGGTTGTTTGCTTTTTTAAGTCAAGCTTTGAGAGTTCTTTATTCTAGAGTCCTTCGTTAGATATGTGGCTTGTAAATATTTTCTCCCAGGGTGTAGCTTCTCTTTTCATCCTATTAAAAGGGTCTCTTGCAGAGCAAAAGTTTTTAATTTTGATGGGGTTCAATTTATCGATTTTTTTTCTTTTGTGGGTCACGCTTTGCCGTTCTAAGAAATTTTCACTAAGGTCCTGAAGATTTTTTTTCCTGTGTTTTCTTCTAAAACCATTATAGTTTTATGTTTTACATTTAAATTTATGATTGAATTTGAGTTAATTTTTGCATAAGGTGTGAGGTGCAGGTCAAGGTTCATATTTTTGCCTATGGATGTTCAATTGCTTCTGCACCACTTGTGGAAAACACTGTTCTTTCTCCATTGAACTACCCTTGCATCTCTGTGAAAACACGGTTGGCCCTAATTGTGTGAGGCTGTTTCTGGATTCTCTATTGTTTCATATGTGTCCATCCCTCCACCGGTACCACACTGTCTTGATTCTTGTAGCTATATGATAAGTCTTGAAATTTGGTTGAGAGTGTCTTCTCACTTTGTTCCTTTGTCAGGATAGTTTTAGCTATTCTAGTTCCTTTGTCTTTTCATATAAAGTTCAGATTAGTCTTGCTTAAACCTAGAATACATCTTGTAGGGATTTTGATAGAAATTGCATTAAATATGTATTATTAGGGACATTTCACAGTTTTACTATGTTCTTCCAGTCCATGAATACAGAATATTTCTCCATTTATTTAGATCTTCTTTGATATCTTTTATCAGTGTTTTGTAATTTTCAGCATACAGTTCCTATATACATGCTTTGTTAGATTTTCAGTTTATAAGCTTTTTTTGAGTGATTGTAAGTGATATTGTATTTTTAACTTCAGTTTCCACAGGTTCATTGATAGTACATTGAAGCCCACTTGATTTTTGTATGTTGATCTTGTACTGTGTGACCTTGCTGAACTCATGTATTAGTACTAGGAGTTTATTCATAGATTTCTGGGGATTTTCTAGTAGGTCATAATGTCCTCTGCAAATAGGGACCATTTTCTTTCTTTTTTTCCGATAGGTATGTCTTTTATTTCCCTTTCTTACCTTATTGCTCTGGCTAGTTCTTTCAGTATTATATTTAATAGTAGTGGAGAGCTTGGACATGTTGCCTTGTTCTGGATCTTAGGGGGAAAGCACTCATTTTTATACTTCTAGATTAAATTTTTTCAGACAAAAATCAAATCGAGCCCACCTTTTCCCATTGTTCACTATTGTTTTGAACTATTACTTTTATTTTTAAGTGAATTTTAAATTGGTCTTTTCCTGATATCAATTAGCCTTGGAAGATGAGGGCCTCTTTTCTGTGTAGCCCCTTCTTTCCTCATTTCCCTGACTGCTTTTCAAGGCCGTGGATTCTATGCCCCCTAGTGGCCTCATGGAGTCATGTCCTGTCTCAGCTGCAGCCGAGAAGAGTGTGACCTGCTGGTGGGAGGGGCCTCAGAGACGTTCCATAGTCCTTTCCCCATCCTGTTGAGGCCCCAGGGGCCGGCTGACCCTCTCCTCCCCTGGTGTCTGCAGACAGTGGTCTCGGGCCCCTTGCCGGGCCAGGTGGTGGCGCCGGTGTCCGGGAGCAGCCTGGGTGTGTGGCGTGCGGAGATCAAGCCAAGGGTGCGTGAGATCCACCTATGCAAGGACTAGCGTGGCAAGACGGGGCTGCGACTGCGGGCCATCGACAAGGTGGGGCTGGGGGTCGGGCGGCAGGGGGCGACGCGCTGGACAGCATCGGTGAACAGCCTGAGCCACCTGAGCTCCCCGCTCCTTGCGCCTGGGTTTTGGCTGCACAGACCAGCAACCGCGGAGGGCAGTGCGGGGTGGGGGTGGGCATGGGGGTGAGTCGTCCACAGTGAGGAAGGTGCAGAGAGTGCTGGAAGCAAAGCCCACCTAACCCTCAAGCCCAAGCAGTTCCCCTCTACCCCCTGTCCCAAGGCCCAAGGCCTGGGACTGGATTGCAGCAGGTGTCCTCCGTCTGCCTCTCAGGGGCTCCTGTTGTTCAAAGCCTCCTTTCCCCATGTCCCCCAATTCACTGGCTGCCAGGTGGCTCTCCTTATGTCCTTGATGCTGTTGTGAGAGGCGGTGCAGTCCAGTGGTTGGGGGTGCAGCCTCCAGACAGGGTTGAAATTCTGCCTCAGCTGCTCCTTAGCTGTGTGGCCTGGAGTGTTTCCTCCCCAGGAAAATGAGGTAACCAATGTACCTGTTGGCAGAGCTGTAGTCTTAGTGCCCTGTAGGCCCCCAGAGGATCAGGAGGAAATAACAGCTAGGAGGAGAGACCTGGCCCTGGGGGAGGGGAGCTGACTCGGGCCTTGCCTCTCCCAGGGGCTCTTTGTGCAGTTGGTCCAGGTCAGTACTCCCGCATCCCTTGTGGGGCTGTGCTTTGGGGACCAGATCCTGCAGATTGATGGGCGTGACAGTGCTGGGTGGAGCACAGACAAAGCACACCGGGCAGTGAAGAGGGCCTCAGTGGTGATCATCATGGTTGTTCGGAACAGGTGAGTAGCCAGTCGCAGGAGCCTCTCTGTTCCCCTCCAGCCTTGTCACAGGCCCAGCTCACTGTCCCTTCCCCACAGGCCATTCCAGCGGACTGTCACCATGCACAAGGACAGCACTGGCCACGTTGGTTTCATCATTAAGAAGGGGAAGGTGGCCTCTGTAGTCAAAGGGAGTTCTATGGCCCGCAGTGGGCTCCTCACCAACCACTGTGTGTGGGAAGTGAATGGGCAGAATGTCATCCGGCTGAAGGTAGGCCCGGGGCTGGGCTCTGCCCCAGAACTTAAGGAGCAGAGAGCCTGCTGGGTGGTGGGAGGGAGAGCCCATGTCTGTGGGCAGGCTACTGCCTCCATCCGAGCTTCAGTTTCTTCATCCTGAGGTTGCTTTGAGGAGTCAATAAGACAATAAGTACATAGGACTTTGGGCACATAATAAGCGCTCAGTAAATATTAGCTGTTGATACTAACACATGAAGGTCAAAGGTGTGACAGAAAGAGGAGGTGTGAAAGGCCACAGGTACCCAGGTGGCTGCATGACTACCTCCCTACTTTGTGGGGTACTTCTGTTTGCATCCTGGATCACGTAACAAGAATATTTTAGAACGTTGTTCTTCAGAAATCTGTTTCTGACCTCTGTTCCTTTTTTGAGGGGTGGTGCGTCGCAACTTTCATCTTTGAAAAATAAGAGGGAGCCAGTGGTCTAGAGTCAGTGCTGCAGACATGGACTGAGGGGTGGGTGCCTTCAGGGAATGGACTGCAGAGGGTGATGTGTCATGTGGCTTTTGGTCCCTGAATGAATGAAAGTAATTTTTTCCTGACTTGATGAGAGTGGTTCTCATCCCAGATGTAATTTAGGTGAGGGTCCCTTCCCCTCCTGTGGCCTGGGCTTTGGGCTCAGGTGGTAGGGTTCCCCGGGCAGAAGTTGCCTGGATGGTGGCATTCATTCCACAGCTGGCAGTCTTTTAGGCCAGTTCTCCACCCCTCACAAGGGCCATCACCAAGCCATTCCTGTCACATGTCTGCTTCCCTGTGCCTGACAGTCTCGCCCACCTTCCCTGGAGGCTGGTTCTGCTGGCTCACTGTGATCAGGAAGTTCTTCATAATGTCTGTCCAAGATCCCTCCTGCTGCATCTCTCCCCTTGGGGATCAGGTGTGATCATCCAAAGGGAACCCACTATACCTAAAAAGCTGAGGACACATACCAATTCTGAGTAGCCGGCTCTCAGATATTGGTGAATTCATCCTTTGAAAGCATTGTAGCTCATTGATCTTACTGTGAGGAGCAGTCATTCTACATGTGCTGCTGATCCTCTCCTTGGCGGCTCAAGGCTTCATTACAGACTTGTTATCCTGCCAACCACAGTGTGTGAGGCTCTTAGGATTGGGCTTGTCCCCTTTCTGAATGGCCCCAGATAGCTATGCTTCTTGAGATTACCTTTTCAAAGTTCATCTACTTTCACTCTGGCCATCACTAGTCTTGTCTAGCACGTCTTCTCCCATTTATCCCAGAAAAACTAAGAAAATACAAATCAAGTTAGAGATATGAGTAAAGTTGAGGTCACTGGTCTCTGAGTAAGGGCCAGAGGCTCTTCTGTTGCCACCATTTTAGCTTTTGGACTGTTGGGCACACTTTGCATAGAGACTTTTGTTTCTTGTGCTCCCCAGGATCTCAATGGCTTCTGCAGGCCTTTCTCACTTTACTAAGGTATAAGGGGAAGGAGTCCCATGTGGGTTCAGCTCAGGCTGGCTGGCCAACAGGGGCCCAGTGGGTGGTGGGTGCACCTGCCCCCCACTGGATGGCTATTTTCTTGCTGGTTTGAGGCCAGAACCCGAGTATGACTGGGACCAGGGGGATGGGATAGAAGATGAGGCATGGTGAGATTCCAGGGCCTCTGTGGAGAGGAGAGTAGTGACATTTGTAAGGCCCTGTTATGTCAGGCCCATGGGACTGGCCCTAGAGGGTTGGGAGTGGCACACTCATTTTACCGAGGGGATCCTCAGGGGGAGCCCCACGTTCTTGCTTAAGCAAGGCCTCACCTAGGTGTCTGCCTGGGACTCTCACCTGAGGGGCAGCCCTACCCTTGAAGTCAGGTGTCAGGGGCCACATTGACCCTTCCACAGAGTTGCCCGAAGAGTTTCCCCTGGCCCCCAGGGTGACCGCTTGTTTGCCTCCTCTCTAGGACAAAGAGGTCATGAAGATTCTGGAGATGGCCGGGAATGTTGTCACACTGACCATCATCCCAGCTGTGATCTATGAGCACATGGTCAAAAAGTAAGGCTGTTCCCCTTCTTTCTCCCCCTCCCCTCCCCTCCTCTCCGCTGCCCCAGCTTCCTCAAGGCTCACAC